GTTATTATTTGTTGTCGATGTTACAGCCTTTACTTGCAGAACTTGGTTACTCAGAACTAATAGCAATCAGAGCGGTTTATGAACCAAAACAGTAAATACCTAAATAAATAACCCTCCTTCATCTGTTAGCATTCCCTCAGTTAATCAGACAAGGGCCATTCTGTAGGTGTGGCTAATGCTAGATTTTTGTATTATTATTTTTTTACTGTACAATCACTGATGCTAGACCAGTGGTTCTCAACCTGTGGGTCGGGACCCCATTTGGGGTCGAACGACCATTTCACGGGGGTCGCCAAACAACGCAGTCCGCCATTTTTTCCCCCTTTTCCTTAGCTGTGCTACTCCCTTTTATTCTATTGGCTTTTGAAAGCCAATAGAATAGACTCTCTTGAATAGACTCTAATTCTATTGGCTTTCAAAAGCCAATAGGAGTTGTCCTTGCTGTCTCTGCCCTGCTGAGCCCACCAAAAGTCCCATTCTGCAAACGGTGCTGCACCAGTTGAGTAGTCCTCGACTTACGACCGGTTGAGTAGTCCTTGACTTACGACTGGTTGGGGGTCGCGGCATTAAAAAGGTTGAGAACCACTGTGCTAGATTATTGTTTGCTACCCTGGACCGACATGGCTCTCTTACTACAATGTCTACAAGTGGAAGTTGGTATGACTGAAAGTTCTCCATATAAAACAGCATCTAGAAGCAGAAGTCTCCCGGATGTGCCCAGTTTCGATTGGCAGAACATGCTTTTGTATTAGAGATAGTCCTCGACTTACAATCATAATTGAGCGCAAAATTTCTGTTGTTAAGTGAGACATTGTTTAAGTGAATTTGGCCTCATTTTTACAACCTTTCTTACCTCAGTTGTTAAGTGAATCACTGCAGTTGACAAGTTAGTAACACAGTTGTTAAGTGAATCTAGCTTCCCCATTGACTTTGCCTGTCAGAAGGTCACAAAAGGGGATCACGTGACTCCGGGACGCTGCAACCGTCATACAGATGAACCAGTTGCCAAGCACCTGAAATTTGATCACACGATCATGGAGATGCTGCAAAGGTCATAACTGAAAAATGGTCATAAGTCACTTTTTTCAGTGTTGTAATTTTGAATAGTCACTAAACAAACTGTTGTAAGACGAGGACTACCTGTATTGTCATACAAATCCCCTCCAGCAGCTCCAAATATTTAGGACTGAGGGCTTCAGAGAGAAACCACCTTTTAAAACAGGGCTAGTCAACCTTGGCTCTTTTATGACTTGTGGACTTCAACTCCCAGAATTCCTGAGCCAGGAATTCTGGGAGTTGAAGTCCACGAATCATAAAAGAGCCAAGATTGACTAGCCCTGTTTTAAAAGAATCATTATTTGGTGTCTGCCTAAGCAGGAAACCTACCCAGAGCCCGATGTTTTCCATTTTGGTCCCAGCAAAAGCCTGCTAGGAGAGACAGCTTGTTGTGTGGTGAAGGTATCAGACTAGAAACTGGGAGACTGTGAGTTCTAGTGCAGTCTCAGGCACAAAGAGAGCTGGTTGATCTTGGATCAGTCCCTTTCTCTCAGCTCTAGGAAGGAGGCAATGCAAAGCATTTCTGAAACCAGGCCATGCAAACCGTAGGGACTTCTCCAGGTAGCTGTCAGGCATCAACAGTGACTTGAACTTACCCAAAAAAGTTCTGTTACTTAGAACGGTTTAGTCACCCTAATTTTCTTTCAGCAGACAAGGAAAAGGGGCTTTCTTAAACAAAGGGTTCAGGAAGAATCTAGGAACTGTCTGGGTTAAGTCTGAGGTAAAACCTTCAGGTCTTGGCCCAAATGGAGTATTCCACCCCCCCTTCTCTCTGCCAAGAAGAAAATTGCAAACAAAGACCTTCCATTCTTCCTCTCAGCGGCTCCCCATCTGTCCTTCTGTTCTTCCTTCTAGACCCCAGGCGAGGGGAGGTGTAGACCGGTGTAACTGATCCATTTTTAAAACCTTTGTGCCAGGTGCATGCTTTCTCAGCCAGGTTTCAGCAGGCTGCCCCTCGGCTGTTATGCGCATGCACACATACACAAAAAAGGAAAACGCACAAAGGTTGCCTTTTTTTTTTTTTTTTGGTCAGACCAGAATAGTAGAACATCCAGGTCAGAAAGTTTAAACGAGAGAGTAGGAATAAGTTTGGGAGGACTTTTTAACCATTTCACAGACCTGGAGGAAATTCTGTGGCTCATTAGAGACACCTAGTGGAGACGAGGCACTCAAAGTCTTCTGCCAGAGGTGACTGGAGGCATGCTTGGTACTTCTCATTGATCTGGGATACCCATCATCCCCTGCTTTCTTAGGATCACAGCAGGTTGTTCCCTTATCTATGTAGCTATAGAGTAATCTATGTATTGAATCAGAACATGAGGTCCCCATTTGTATCAGGGTAATACTACCCAACACCATAGATAGGTAGGTAGGTAGGTAGGCAGGCAGGCAGGCAGGCAGGCAGACAGGCAGACAGACAGGTCTAACTAGCAGACAGGACAATTTCCATTTCTCCCATGTTTCTCCATGAGATAAAGACTATACCAGTTGAATGTTTGCCTGTACCAGCCCAAGAGAGCATCTCTGTGGGGCTCCAAGGGCATCTTTGCCTTTCTCTCCCTTTCCTGGTCTTAATGCAGCCAAGGGTAAATCCAAACAGAGGACACGAACTGTCTTGGTCTACATAACTGCACAGTGCAGTTGCTAGAGACTACATGGCAGACTTCCGAGCAAGCCTGCGAAGTTGCTGAGATCCTTGCAGAGGAGAAAAGCCCTCGTTCGAGGAATACTGTAAATTTTATTCAGGATCTTCATGGCAGTTGGATTTTTAAAAGGATTTTATTCCCTGTGACTCTCAAACTCCAAACAGGCTGTGATCAAACCTCCTACTATCTTTAAAGAGTCCCAGGAGATGCGGATGTTTAGCATTTTCCCCCTGCTGTTTTCTCCATTTAACACCTCTCCTCCTACCCCCACGAAGCTGTTTTTCATTTTGCAGCGGGGGGGGGGGCGAGGTATCCATATAAAAAGGTATCCGTATCATGCTTCTGTCTGTCTGTCTTGCAAAAAAGAAAAAAAAACCAGCAGATTTTTAGATTGGAAAAACAGCAGTGGGGAAGGGCTGGTTTTTTTTAATAACAACCCCCCCTTCTTTCCCAGCACGGTTGTCCCAGTTGAAATCAAACTGTTCTGCACTTGCTTTAGATGTTTTCAAAATCAACAATAAATCTGGTTTCCCGCATCACATCTGTTTTGGCCCGCCTGGTGTTTTTGGGCAGAAATGAGGATGTTCAAAGCAGCATCAGAACCAGACACCTTAATGATGGATTCTATTAAAATACATGAGCTTTTGAAGACTCTCTTGTGTGTTAGTGCAAAAAAGTACAGAAAACAGCAGTCAGGGTATTCTTCCTAGGTGGGACAATAATCAAAATCTCAAGTGGAAGCCTCTACCAAATATTTAGAGTGAAATGCTCCAATTTTGCAGCATGAGGCAGATAGCCACTGCTATTTTAGTCTCCTGGCATCCCAAATATCCTCAGAATCATTGATCAACACCACCAGGCTATTTTGACAATTTTTCCCGCTCTTAATTTTTTTTTTTTTAACTGCCATTGATCTTTGGGAATCAAACTCTCCACCATTATCTCTTTTCTGGGGTATTAGTACCTAGAGACAGAGAATAAGCATCCTATTATTATACAGGTGGTCCTTAACTTATGACCACAGTTGAGCTCAACATTTCCATTGCTAAGCAACTTAAGTAAATTTTGCCCCATTTTACGAAATTTTTTGCCACAGTTATTAAGTGACTCAGTGCAGTTGTTAAGTTAGTAAGACAGTTGTAAAGTGGGTCTGGCTTCCCCATTGATTTTGCTTGTCAGAAGGTTGCAAAAGGTGATGACATGACCCCAGGATACTGCAACCGTCATAACTACGAACCAGTTGCCAAGCTTCTGAATTCTGGTCATATGACCACGGGGATGCTACAACTGTGATATGTGCGAAAAACCCATTGTAACTTCAAATAGTCACTAAACAAATGGTTGTGAGTTGAGGACCATCTGTATAGCAGGCTGCCCCACCTTTAAGATCAGTACAATTGGGCTCAGCAGCAGCTGATATGCCCAGAGGTGTAGAGAACTGTGGTCTTAACATGGATGGAAGTTGCCAAAATGGGGGGGGGGGGAAATAACATAGAACATTCTTGAGAACTTAAGGTTTGCAAATTGCTCTAGTAGTATCTTCACTGGATACTGACCACCTTGTTTCAGTGCTTCTGATGAATTCTGAGCCGCTGTGGCCACGGTCCTTCTGTCTCTGCTCTCTTCAAGTCCAGTAGATCTAATAGAGCACTTGTCATCTCAGAGTGCGTTGAAGGTTTCTGGCTACTCTGTCCAGGGTAGAAATGGTGGTGTAAGGTCTCCTGCTTGAGCAGGGGGTTGGACTAGAAGTTCTCCAAGGTTCCTTCCAACTCTGTTAATCTGTTAAACTCTGATATGAAGGAGTCTGGTCCACCAAAACTCCCTGCTTGGTGGGGGGGAATGATTGTTACAAGCAATCTCAAATCCAAGGAATTCACAATCTTGGGCTAGGACTTTTCTGAGTTGTCCTGGATTTCTTCCTGAACAGAAAGGAATGCTGGTGTGCTCTTATGATTAGGCAGCAACACGAAGCCCCAGGATTGGCAAAGCTATTTTTGTTTAATCCAGAGAGTAGTACCTTCTACTGAGTTGTTGTTCTTTGGCCATCTGCAACTGATCCAGACATACTAAACAAGATAATATAGATCTAGCCGTGTTTCTGACCTTATCATTGAGGTAAGAGTCTTGGCTTAAATAGAAGTAGACGCCGATTTATGCCACCTTTGATCTACAGAAGAACAAAACAAAGGTCTCATTGGGCAGTGGGATCCTCTCATATACAGTGGGATTGGTAAACTGACTAGACCAAGCCATGCTAATCTCTGGTTGATTATTTCCTCCCCCCCTTCTTCTCCACAGAGAATTCAGGTCTAACAGCAGGAGCAGCAAAACAGAAGGTGAGTTGTGAAATGTGGATTTTGTGTTCCCTTCTATTCCCAAGTGATAGCAATGGAACAGACAAGTATAGAGGTAGCTTCAGGGGTCTTTGGAACAAGAAGCTTGACATACTAAGGTTTCCCCAGCATTTTGCGTGCAGCACGCCTGTGTTTACAGAATTTGCTTCCTTGCACCTGGAAAAAAATAGTAGTAGTACTATGTGGTTAATGGTGTCTTAAATAGCATCTAGTTATCTTTGGGGACGCTTAGTGATATATGAATATATAGTCATAGGGAGATCTTGGATCTTATTTGTGACACCAATTCGTGAGTAAAGACATGGTTTGCCCTTCTGATCTTGCACCAATGCTCTGCAGGGATTGATTTTGGATCTCCCAGTACTTGGATTCAATATGATCTTCCCTGATCTAAAAAGGGGAGTAGGAATCTCTGACAAGCTACAGTACAAGTGGAGAACACTCCAAGCTTTCTAGGTCTCTGCACCCAGCTTTCCAACTTGCTCAGGGAACCCCTAGAACAGTGATGGCGAACCTTTTAGAGACCGAGTGGCCAAAAACTGGCCCTGCCCCTGCTCCACCCCACCCCATTCCCTGTCCCGCCTGCCCGCAGGGCCACTCACCGCCTCCAGGGCCCGCTGCAGATCGTCCAGGCAGCCCAGCAGCGCCGTGGCGGCCACGCCCTCTGCCCACGCCCTGCAGCATCAACTGTGTGCGATGGGGCGTGAGAGCAGAGTCTTGTCTACGCTGCCTGGCTGCCATGTCCTTGGCTTCACTTCTTCGTGTGGGCCACGCTCGGGGGCGACTCTCCTCCAGGGGGGCTGCTGGTGAGGAGGGGGCTGAGGCAACTGCATGTGTGCCCACAGAGAGGGCTCCAAGTGCCGCCTCTGGCATGCGTGCCATAGGTTCGCCACCACTGCCCTATAATGGAACCATTCCCTTCTGTTGGGATTCCATCCCAGCAGGATGCTTCTGTATCCCCATCCTTCTCTTCTTCGCCCATAGGGTGGCAGAGCTGTGCTCTTCATGAGTTGAGGTTCGGATTTGTTGATAGAGTGCCCAGTTACTAGCCTGAAGGAGAACACCTATCAACAGGCCTACTCCATGCCTGCTTCATGGAGACAATACATGATGCCAGCATGTTCCTAATGGGTCATGTTGCCTAGAATGACAATCCCAGCTATCATTGCTCTGCTCATTTATCCTGGGTATTATGCAGTAAGAAGCACATCTTTACTAGAAATGAGGCCACGTCAAGGAAGAGCTCCTGCACATATTTCTGTAGGGTTTGCACAAGAAAACTTACTGGTAAATTATGCCCTTCACGGCCATTAGCTTTTCTTGCCTCCCACTTTGTCACCATTCAAGGCATCCATAATATGTGTCACCTTGCTTTGTGACAAGGCCACTTCTCCTTGGTAATGCTAAAGGGCACAGGGGAACTTAAATATAAGCTGTAAAGCACTTGAGGCATATTTTAACTAATGCAAGGCCATGATTAGATCATTGTCTCACTCCCTTCTTTTCTTCCTGACCTCTTAATACCTTTCTAGGTATCATACTCCAACTTCCATCATTCCTGGGTCAGAGGTAAGGGGTGACAGGTGTTGTAGATGAGAGCTCTGGAAATCATCATGTTGGGAAACATTCTGTTATATAAATTTACCTGCATAATCCACATTGTGCAAAATCACATCATGGAAGAATGGAGGATGGAATTTATTACAAAATCCAGCTTCTACAAAGCTGAGAAACTGTTTATATCTAGCACACAAATATTCTGTCCCTATGAAAAACTTGTAGGTTGGTCTTGCTCCCTGGTCTAAAAAGTTAGAAGACCCTCTACCATTATCTGCACAGAGGTTTCACTGATAAGAGTAGAGGGTCCCCTAATTTTTTAGGCAAGGGAGCAAGATCAACCTACACATTTTTCATAGGGGCAGAACAGTTGCATGCTAGATACTTTGATTGGGGCAATGTTCACCCTCTTTCTAACCATGAAAACAATAGTGTAGACTTGGTGGAAGCATGTGTGTATGGATGGTCTCATCCATGATGTCTACACAGCTCCCTCAGTGATAAAAGAACAGAGCATGAAAATCTGTCCCACTTGGCCACCAACAAATTCTACATGAAAGTAGACTGAAGGCAAGTTGTGGGAAAGCTGCCAAAAATGATAACCCAGTTTGGAAGGTCTACGTATTAGACCTTCCAAACTGTAGTGTAGGAAAACTCAAAAGAGGTTACCATTTTTTGGCAATACTATATATTGAATTCTTTTATAATGTATAAGAATACTTGCCCCGGCTTGTAATATTATTCTGTGATGCTTTTTCTGCTCCCAGTAGCATCACAAAGATGTGTAGAGAAGAGCTGGAGAACTGTCCCACGGGTGACCTTGCAGCATGGGTTAACCATTTCTTCATTTCACAAAGAAAAGAGGGGAACAGAGAGTGGATATTTCACTCAGAGCTGCTGCCAAGGAACTTAACGTCTTCTCTCTTCCTGTTCCAGGCCCAGGCAGCACATTTCCAGATGTCCATCCAAGCAGTTGTTCCACCAAGAGGCATGCAAGTGAAGATGAGTTGAGGAAGCGGCTGAAATCCCAGGGGTCACCAGTACTGTCAACTGGAGGTGCTCTGCGCAGCACTTCCTCTTCTGACTACAGCCAAGAGCCAAAGTTCTACCAGTCAGGACATCCTGGGCAAAAGACATTGGTGTGCCTGGCAGAGAAAGCTTTGCCGTATAGCATGCTCAGCTTCCCAGAAGGTTCTTGCACTGTATTAGGTCAAGAGCACAAATCCAGTTCCTTACATCATACAGAGACAGCTGAGCAGTACAAAAGCCTCCATACCCAGAGCAGCAGCAAGTCCGAAGACCTGCTGGCATCCAGTGTTCCTGCCTGCCCTGCTGACATCCAAGACTTGGAGGAAGCCACCACACAAGATAGAGCTGCCAAAACTTTCTCCAATGCCACATTGGCCTCAGGGAGGTGTAATATTGATAGCATCATCTCCTTGTTGAAAAGCAAGTGTGGCAACGGCAGAATCAACCTCTACCCTGTGGTGCAGCTCATAGACATTATGAAGGACATTGACCGACTCTCCCAGGACCTAAAGAGCTGTGGTGTTCATTTAGATTGCAGTGGCTTGCAATTTGATAGCCATCTGCAGCTTAGTGAGGAAGGCCGGGGACAAGGTCTTCATTATAGCTTCTACTCCTCCCCCATGCTGGCCAACAGCATCCGCAGTCCTGAGGAGCTGGCAGTGCAAAGTAGCACCAAAGCTGATCTTCTCAAACAGACCCAACCTAGCCATTATGCGGGAGAAACAGAAGGGGACACTCAAGGTGCCCAGGACCAAATCAGCCAGAGTAGTCCTGTTCTGAAGGCTCCTTGTAGCCTAGATGAAGCTAGCAGCTCAGAGTCTGAGACGACCGATTATCCTGAACTAGCCAATACAGATATCCTGAGTGAACTGGCTTCTCTGGCCTGTCCAGGACCTCAGTTATTAGATCAGCATCCAGATTCCCACCATCAGCTGCTACAAAGCCAAGGGGCAGAATCAAGGTCTCAGTTAATTGGTTCACAGTCTCTAGAAGACCAGCCCCAGCTAGTAGACTCAAAGTCTCTGGAGCCGCCTCCAGAACCATTGGCCTTGCAGACAGTGGATCCCTTGCCTGCACCACTGGGGCTGCAGCCTCTAGAACCTCTGGAGCTTCAGACTTTAGAACCTCTTTCTGAGTCGCTATCACTCCAATCCCTAGAACCCCTTTCTGAGCCTCTAGGGCTCCAGTCTTTAGGGACCCTGGACCACCAGTTGCTTGATTCCCAACCCCAGCTCCTGGATCCAGACGCCCAGCTGCTTCCCCCTTTGCCCAAGTTGCTAGACTCTCAGCCCCATCTAGGAACACAGGAATCTTCAGGAGGACACTCACTACAACCTGGAGCCCGCCTTGGAGGCTGTTCCTTAAGAGGAGTAGTAAGGCGAGGGGCTGGGCGGGGAAGGGATGATCACAGGAAATACGCTCTAAGGAGAACAGATAAACCAAAGATACTCTGTCGTCGTCGGAGGGGAGGCCGAGGGCAGCGAACAGAGATTGTCACTGAGAGCCAAGTCCTCCCCATGGCTGTACCAGTGGAGATGATCATGGCTCAACCAGAAGAACCCAGGATGCCATTGACCACCATTGCAACAGGTGAAGTAGCAGGTCCCATTGTTTCCACTTTGGAGCCAGAAGAGGGCCAGAAGGCTGCTGCCCTCCTGAATCCCCCAAAGCCCAAATGCCGTGGCATACGTCGGATGGTGGTAAAGATGGCCAAGATTCCCGTCTCTCTTGGGAGGAGGAATAAGACTACGTACAAAGTGTCCTCCCTCAACAGTAACTTGAATGTAGAAGGCAAAGGGGTTATAATCTCCCCTTCTCTAGAGCCCACTCCACTGCTGAAGATGAAAAACAATGGCCGGAATGTGGTGGTGGTCTTTCCTCCAGGAGAAATGCCAATTATCCTGAAGCGCAAGAGGGGAAGGCCCCCCAAAAACTTAATGCTTGGGCCCTGCAAACCTAAGGAGCCTGTTCCAGAAGTGAAAAAACGGAGGAGGAGGAAACAGAAGTTGGCATCCCCACAGCCCTCTTACGTTGCAGACACGAATGACAGTAAAGCGGACTATTCAGATGTCCTGGCCAAGCTAGCCTTTCTCAACCGCCAGAGCCAGTGCTCAGCTCGTTGCTCCCCACCTCGCTGCTGGACCCCGACTGAGCCCGACTCAATCCACCAGGCTCCTGACACTCAAAGCATCTCCCACTTTTTGCACCGAGTACAAGGCTTCCGCAGACGAGGTGGCAAAGGAGGTGGATTTGGGCGTGGAGGGAGCCATTCCGCCCGTTCCTCCCGTTGCTCCTTCAGCGATTTCTTTGAGGGCATTGGCAAAAAGAAGAAGGGGGTTCTGGGGATGGCCATGCATGTCGACCCCGCACATCCTCGGAAGAGAGGCCGTCCAGAGCCAGACCCCATGGAGAAGCCCAAAAGAAAGAGGCGATCTCGCAAAAACGGGGCCCTGTTTCCTGAGCAGAACCCCAGCCAAAACTTCAGTGATGGGTCCTCAGAATGGTGTGGAGAAAAAGAAAGTCATTGGATGTCCCACCAAGGACACCTTTCTGGTCAAGCCAACAGGAATTGCAGCTACCAAGGCAGCGACTCTCGGACCTTCCACTCCTCAACCGTGGAATCAAGTTCTTCAAACCGAACTGGTTTTTATGGGGGGAGCAATCCATCATCCCAATCTGAACTCAGCCAGGAAAGGCAGAGCCTTTTCACGGGTTATTTCCGTTCGCTGTTGGATTCCGATGACTCCTCTGACCTGTTGGACTTTGCCCTCTCCAATTCTCGCTCTGCCTCACGGAAATCCTCAGCCACCTATACAGCCCCTCCCAATGCTATCGCAACCCAGAGAGGCATGGCGTCTTACTCAAGCCGGGGTGGGAAAGCCACACCCTCTTCCGCCACCACAACTGCCACGAGCGAGGTGCCCTTCCACACAGTCAGCCGGCAGTCGTTCCCTCCCAACAGAGCAACAGGCTACAACCTGTCCCAGGCTGCTTCAGAGTGCCGTGACCCAGATGCCTTCCAGAAGCTGGCATCTCTCTCAGCTGTCTCCAGGTCCCCCACTACTCACTCCACCACAGCCTCCAGCTATGCACAATATGGCAACTATGGCAGTACTGGAGGACAAAGTGTGACTGCTGCCAGCTTGTTTCAGCAAGGGAAGCCCTACCACGCCCCCCAAGACTGTCCCAACAACAAGGACTGCAGCTTCACCTACGGTGGTGGCAACAGCCTGCCCTCCTCCCCAAGCAGTGCCCACAGTGCCAGCTACACCCAGCAGACTTCAGGGCCCAGCATCCCCTTGAGTAAGCCCTCTTTCTTCAACAGCTCCGATCCCAGCCAGTTCTCCAGCTCCTCTCACACCCCCATGAGGTGTGACAGCCGAGCAAGCACTGTATCGCCAGGGGGTTACATGGTCCCTAAGACTTCAGTCCCTTTCCAGCCTTCACCGGAGAACTGTAGGCAGTTTCCTAGTGCCTCTCAATGGGCTTTCCGGCAAGGCTATGGCAGTCTGGACTGGAACTCTGAGTCCTTCAGTCAACTCTACAACCCGGGCTTTGACTGCCACATCAATGAACCCAATGTCATCCTAGACATTTCCAACTATACACCCCAGAAGGCCAAGCAGCAGACGGTCTCGGAGACCTTCTCCGAATCCTCCTCAGATAGTACCCAGTTCAACCAGCCCTCAGGCTACAGGAGGGCCAACAGCGAGGCTTCGTCTAGTGAAGGGCAGTCCAGCCTCTCTAGCTTGGAGAAGTTGATGATGGACTGGAACGAGTCGTCTTCAGCCCCAGGTTATAACTGGAACCAGAGTGTTTTATTCCAAAGCAGCTCTAAGCCAGGACGGGGCAGGCGAAAGAAAGTGGACATATTTGATGCTGCCCATCTCAGTTTTTCCACAGGCGGCTATCCCTCCAAGAGAGGGGCTGGTGCTCGGCAGCCACGGGGTTCCCGGGGCGCCTGTGCCTCCAAAAAAGAAAGAGGCACAGGCAAAGCTAAATTCCCCAGCAAATCCCAGCCGGTGAACCCGCTGTTTCAAGACAGCACAGATTTGGGACTGGACTACTACAGTGGGGACAGCAGCATGTCCCCGCTGCCTTCACAGTCCCGGAGCTTTGGGCTCAGTGAACGTGATCCTTGTGACTATACAGGGCCCTACTCCATGAATCCTTCCACGCCTTCGGATGGCACCTTTGGGCAAGGGTTCCAGAGTGACTCCCCCAGCCTGGGACAGACAGACTTGGAGAACAAGCATTTCCCCAGCCTGCCCCACCAGCTGGCTGCCCCACCCACTCAGCAGACGGTGTTCGAAGCCAGCTTGCAGAAAGCTTTTTCACCTAACTGCTCCCCCACCCTGGCCTTTAAAGAGGACTTGCGGCCCAGTGACATCCGGAAGCTTCCAGCCTGTGACTCGCTCAAACATGGCATAGCTGGGGTGGCCGGCTTGCCCCACTCAGCCCCCCACATGGCCTGCCGGGACCTCTCCATGTCTCAGCCACACTATGATTCTCCCAGCTGTAAAAACCCCAGCTATTGGTATTCGCCCACTGCCAGCACCCGCAGCCCTCCCTATGACAACAAAGCCGGGGTGGGCATGCTGGTAGACTTCATGGGGAGGAGCCCCGAGGCTTCTTGCCTCAACCCCCATTTGACCAGTCCCCCCAGCAGCAACCCTTCTAAGAGCGAGAAGGAGCCCATGGACATGGCGAGGGCTCATCACCGAGGAGCCTATATTTGCCCCTTGATGAATGACTTAAATATCTCCCCAGTCCCAAGAGACTCGATGCTGCCACTGCAGGACAACTATAGGTACCCCAGCTTTGTACCCCAAGGGCACCCAATCATGGCTGCACCCCAGAAGAGCGGGTTTTTGGGTCCAATGCTAGAGCAGCATCCCGAGGACACATTCACAGTCACCTCCTTGTAGTGTCATCTGAAGTGCCAACCAGACACGAGGTTTTGTTTCAGGGTAGGTGCTGGAGGAAGAGCTGGAAGGGGAGGGGGTGGTTTGAGGAGGTGTGGGGACAGAGTGGGCTTGGGCTTGAAGTTCATCATGATCATCATGCCAACGGGGCTAGCAAAGTCATGGCATAATGGGGAGGAAAAGAAATACACACTCTGTAGGGTGTTTTTTAAAAAGGGTCTTTGGGAATGGTAGACATCAACTGGCTAATGGCTCTTGGATAGGAGTTTGAACTTGGGGCAGTGTTTCTCAACCTTGGCCACTTTAAGATGTATGGATTTCAACTCCAGAATTCCCCAACAATTCAGCCAACATTTACAATAATGCTGGCTGGGGAATTCTGGGAATTGTGGTCCTCACTTCTTAAAATGGCCAAGCTTGAGGAACACTGCCTTGGGAAGATGCTAAAATAGGTTGTCCTTGAGTTGGAACCACAGCTGAGCCCAAAATTTCCGTTGCTAAGCAAGACGGTTAAGTGACTTTTGTCCCATTTTATTACCTTTTTTGCCACTGTCATTAAGTGAATCACTGCAGCTATTAAGTTAGTAACATGGTTGTAAAGTGAATCTTGCTTCCCCATTGATTTTGCTTGTCAGATGGCCGCAAAAGGGGATCACATGACCCCGGGGACACTGCAACCTTCATAAACACATGTCAGTTGCCAAGTGTCTGAATTTTGATCACATGACGATGGGGATGCTGCAATGGTTGTAAATGTGAAAAATGGTCATCGGTCACTTTTTTCAGTGGCATTGTAATTCTGAACAGTCAGTGAACAAATGATTGTAAGTGGCAGTTTACCTGTAGCAAGTTCTCATGCAGGCAGAGGTTTTACATAAGCCAATCCAGATCAACATGTAGGTCTAACAAGCATATTTAGAGCTCCAGAAGGTGATGACGAATACACTGCTCACACAAACAGCCACCAAGACCAGGGACTTGGCATGTATAAGTCAGTGAGCAGCCCACGGTGGGCAGCTGTTCCCGAGCAATGGCAAAGATCGTCCCCACCATCCCTCCCCATCTTCTCCCGCTTCCTGTGCCCCAGCTTGGTTTTATCTTTGGTCTTAGCATCAGATTAGTACATTACCAGACCAATCTCTGGAAACCTGTAGCTACCCACCCTTTATGGACCTTCATTCAGAGTCCAGAGGCATTCCTGTAATTGAAGACTAGACTGGTGCTTTGTTTTGTGTCATGCCAGCTTTTATACTTTAAAATGAAAAGAATTTTCACAGCAATAAAGTTAGGTGGAGTAGGAATCCTGGAGGTTCCAGGGAGGTGTTTGAAGACACCATGTCACCCCTGAGTTATGCTGACTCCTAATCTGCCTCTTATTGCAAGTCCTAAAAAAAAAAGGAGTGTTATATTAACTAATAACCACTTTAGATGTGACCACAAAGAGTCCACCCAGTTTAGCAATATTGTTTCCAAAGATTGCTCGTGTAATGTCTGTGTTCACACAACGCATTGAATCACAAACCTTTCGCCCCACATTTTAGCTTACCACATTTTACCAACTCAGCCTGTGGCTAATTTATGCTTCAGTGTAATGTGCAAATGTAGAAAAGTGAATCTGTTCCATAAATCGTGGTCAAATTAATTGTAAGTAAACATGTCACGCAAATATATATGGAGATAATCATCCAAGAAATGATTTTCCCAAAGGAGCTTTTTCGAAAGGGCAACTGGACTTTCTTGGTTTTTTTCTTTAAAAACATTTTCACTTCTCATCCAAGAAGCTTCTTCAGTTCTGCAAAGAGAAGCAAAACATGTTCAAAGAAAAAAAACAAAGTCCAATTGCCTTTTGGAAAAAGCACCTTTGGGACATGTCATGCAAATACAGTCCGTAAAAGATCTTCAGATAGCTACCTTCAACAGAAGTTCCCAATACACCTTTCCAGAGAGCATCCTTCCAAAATTACACACAGGATATAATTACGGGTACTCCTCGACCTATCAGCAGAGTTGGGAGTAGACTTTCCATTGCTGAGCAATACCGCCGTAAAACATGACATCATATGACCTCATTGCTTAGCAATGACAATCCTGGCAATTCTGTTTTTAAAGGAATTCCACAAGTCTTTAGCTGTGGACTCAGTCTAATCCAAGCCATTGCAGGCTTGGTATCTCCCAGCCCTGAGCCTTGGTAAGTTGTCAGGCGCAAAGAATCAAGACACCATGCTACGTTCCAGTTAAAGTGAATTATTGCTCATACCCCAAATTTCCATTGCTCAGCAAGACAGTTGTCAGGTTTGCCCCATTTTACAAACTTTCTTGCTACAGTTGTTAAGCAAGTCACTGCTGTTGTTAAGTTAGTAACACGATTGTTAAGTGAATCTGGTTTTCCCATTGACTTGTCAGAAGTTGAAAAAGGTGATCCCATAACCCTGGGACACTGCAACTGTCATAAATGTGAACCAGCTGCCAAGTTCCAGATTTTGATCATGTGACCATGGGGATGGTGCAATGGTCAGGAGTATGAAAATAGTCATGTCACTTTTTTTAGTGCTGTTATAACTTTGAAGGCTCGCTAAACAAATGCACAAGAATCCAATAACTAATTGTCATCGCTAAATTGACACTCGATAAGAGTTAATGGAATTCAAGAAGAGTAGTCTTAGAGTCAGACCATTTATAGGAACATTAATGACTCCAGGCTGATTCCTCTCTTGACTCTGCTCCCAGACTCTGTCTGTCCTTCTGCTACATAAGCTAAAGGACTACCTCCTCTTCAACTCTCCCTCCTTGCCTATGTCTCCCCATCTCTGCCCTTTTGGCTGCTCTGCACACTGCCTTATGGGATGGCAAACAACCCCAGAACCATGTGGCTATGAGGGTGCTTGCCACTCTGCAGCTCAGGGGAGCACCATAGCTGCTGGCCTTGTGCAGCCATCTTCCCCAAGTCTTGCAAGGAAACTTGCAAGAAAGCCTTGTGTGACCAGCAGCTGTCTTGCAAAGGGCCAGGCTGGCCGCGAAGTTCAGCTAGGATGACAGGCTGCGAAGTGCAGGGGGTCAAAAGGCATAGATAGGGGGAAGATTGGCAGGTGGGGAAAACTGAAGTACCCCTGTGGTTGTAAATGCAGGCAGGCTACCAAGCGCCTGAATTTTGTTCAAGTGTGACCCATGAGATGCTGCAACCACTATGTAACTTTGGGGGCCAGTTGTAAGTCCCTTCATTCAGCACCACCATCCCTTTGAACGAAGGGTTGTAACTTGAGGACTATTTATGTTCTGGATAGAAACAGTGACTGGGTCCATAAATTGTGTTCAACCAGAACTTACATTATTGTTTGGGGTTGTTTTGCATAAGGCCAGACTTGGTGATTTATAAACCATCCTCCCACTTAGCATAGTGTGAACGTCACCAGTGGTAGCTTTGTTTTGCTATAATTTAAATACATCCCTAAAAGAGCAGGGAGGGGGAATAGGAAGATAAATGTGGTAAATTTAAACCCTTTGCGTGATCCTCAACCTCCATATGGCTAGCTAGCCCTCGTGGCCTCCTTTCTGCTTCAAAACTAAGTTCCAGCTACTACTAGGAAGACCCACCAGGGAAAGGGGTTATAAATGTTCAGCTCCTGTTTTGGACGCCCTCCATCCAGCTCTTCCAATTCAGGGGTTCCATCTGTTAACTAAGCATTTGGGTTGAGATTAGCTGACTGTAAACAAGTTATTGGCTGTATTGTGTTTTTGTATTGTCGTTAATTTTATTAGCCACCTAAATGGTTATATGCAGAAAGGCAGGATACGCATTGAAAAATAAAAAAATAAAACAAGAAAATAATATTTAGTGGGGGACAGATTATCCCAGAGGCTCTTAAGAGCTAGTTCAGCAGCTCTGAAATAGCAGGATACAGCTCTTTGACATTCTAAACACGCAGAGTGAGAGACAAAAGATTTCACTTCCAAATCTCATGAGGTCTCTGTCACTCCCAAGCTCTGGAATAGCTCCCCTTGGGAATTGTATTATCTTTCGCTCTTTCCATCTTCAGATCAAGGCTTTCTCCTTCAACCAGGCCTTTTGAGTTTTGCGAACAATTCTGTTTTCTAGTTCATCCAGATTGCCCAGTGAGCTGCTGTCAGTGCCCAATGTGTAGAAAAGGAGGATATTAAACTGAAATGCATGCATCCCCATACAAGCAAGCAACATATAGATACATCCTGTTAGACTGAGGCTCTTCCTTACTTTGAAGGTCTCATCTTTGAAGGGACTAGAATCAGGAAGCTGAGAAAAATTAATCCAGCAATTTGTGTCAGTAGAGGTCATGGGAAAGGACTACAGCTAGGCATATAAGACACTGAAGCATTCGTTACAGACTGATGTCTATGAAGATTTCCAGTCATCCAGGTCATGGTTGTCCCAAAAGTGCTTTTTCAAAAGGCAGCTTGACTTTGTTTTTTCCTTGAAGACAAACTGAAGAAGCTCCTTGGATGAGAAGCGAAACGTCTTCAGGGAAAAAACAAAGTCCAGCTGCCTTTTGAAGAAGCACCTTTGGGATATTACAGACTGAGTTGATGGTGAGCACAATTCATAGATGGGATGATGGTTCATCAACACTGCAGAATTAAACAATCAGAATAGAGCTGGAAGGGATCTTGGGGGTCTTCTAGCCCAACCCCTCTGCTCAAGCAAGAGACTTTATACCATTTCAGACAGGTGGCTGTCTAGTCTTTTCTTAAAACCTCCAGTGTTGAAGCACCCACAACTTGTGAAGGCAAGTTGTTCCACTGGTTAATTGTTCTAACTGTCAGGAAGTTTCTCCTTAATTCCAGGTTGCTTCTCTCCTTGATTAGTTTTCGTCTATTGTTTCTTGTCCTGCCTTCAGGATGCTTTGGAGAATAGCTTGACTCCCTCTTCTTTGTGGCAACCCCTGAGACATTGAAAGACTGCTATCATGTCCCCCCTAGTCCTTCTTTTCTCTAGACTGGCCATACCCAGTTCCTGCAACTGTTCTTCATATGTTTTTAAATGACATGGAAAGATCTGATCCAAGTGTCCCCTTTGCTTTTTTTAATTTTCCTTTGTGTTGTTTTTAATTGGGAGAAGATATACAGAAGAAAAGATAATGGCTTAAGTAGCACAGCTTAGAGATAGCTATAGAGTCCTCAACTTACAGCCACAAGTGGGACCACCAACGTGGTTGTTAATCGAGTGGCATCCAATTTTACATTCTTTTTTGCCCAGGTTGTTATGCAAATCACTGCAATTGTTAAGCAAATCATGCGGTCATTAAGCAAATCTATATTCCTGCATTGACTTTGCTTGTCAGAAGTTGGTAGGTTGCAGATGGTGATCACATGACCTTGGGAAGTTGCATCCATTGTTTGGCAAATAAATTATTATTATTATTATAAAGCATTCACATATGAAACAACAAACTAACAATCAAGAGAAATAATAAAAAGAGAATAGAGACAGAAGTTTGAAAAGGTATAAAGAAAAAGAAAGGAAAATGCAAATATATACAAAGAATGACATCTGACTTCTTCTTCCAAGGATACAAAGAACGCTTACATTTGACACTTAGTTGTTTAAGACTATAATAAAATGTCCATTTTCCGCAAAAAAAAAGAAGAAAAGGGGATTTCCTCCCCCCCCCTTTACACTTTTAACAATCATCAAATGCACATGACAATTTTTTTTCTGCAACCATTGTAAATCCAGGCTGGTTGCCAAGACCCAAATTTTGATCATGTGACCATGGCCATGTTGCAACAGACATAAGTGTGAGAACTGATTGTAAGTCTTTTTTCACTTTCATTGGAACTTGAGCAGTCACTAAACAAATGTAAGATGAGGACTACCTGTGTCATCTGCTTAGATCAGGGGTCTTCAAACTTGGCCCTTTTATGACTTGTGGACTTCAACTCCCAGAATTCCTCAGCCAGCATGCCTGGCTGAGGAATTCTGGGAGTTGAACTCCACAAGTCATAAAAGGGCCAAGTTTGAAGACCCCTGCCTTAGCTGTATCTTAGTTTAGGTCTAACCTTTAAAATACACAAAGGATAGTCTGAAACCAATCATTCTAATGGACATTTCCTAAAGCAGTGATGGCGAACCTATGGCACGCGTGCCAGAAGCTGCACTCAGAGCCCTCTCTGTGGGCACGTCTTCTGCCACTGCCAGCTCAAGCAAGTCCATTAGGCCACTGCTGGCACCCAGAGCGGCGGCCCCACCCAGCACAAAGGAGGCAAAGGAGCTGGCTAGCAAGCTCGAGTAGAGGTGGTAGAGCACGCCCCCATGCGCTTACTGGCCTCTGTGTGCGGGGGCTGATGGTGTCAGGCAGCAGGCGCCCCTGCCTCGCCTTGCCCCGCAGCAATGGCACCCCTGCCTCACCCTACAGGACAAGCCTCCTGACCACTGCCCCACTCACCAGAGACCCCCCTGGATCTCCCCCAATCCTGCCCAGCCCCCACAGGAGTCCCCCCCATGAGCAATATTAAGGCAGCCATGCCCACTCCAGCCATGCCCACTCAGTCTGCCATGACCACCACAGCCATGCCCACCCAGTGGGCCACGCTCCCCCCCTCGAGGGCACCACAATGCTGATGCAGCCCTGGCACTTTGCGATAAATAAGTGGGTTTTGGGTTGCGGTTTGGGCACTCGGTCTCTAAAAGGTTCGCCATCACTGTCCTAAAGTAATGTCTCAGTTCTTTTTCTCTCCATCAATACTGTCTATTATATTAATAATAATTTTAAAATATAATTCTACATGATTGTTTGGTGCATTGTGCTGGCTGCCTTCCACCTCAGTGGCTCCTTGCAGTGAAGTTGTGTGGTGTGTGCATGTCACCATTTTGCCCTGCCACAGAGATAAAGGTCTGGTCACTGCTAGGTGTTGCTGATCTACAGCTCCCAAGATCTTTCATCTTTGGCAGGGATGACAGAGTTGTTTTTCAGTAACATCTGGAAGGTTGCACATTTATCACTCGTGTATATGATGGCACTGCTGGAAGAGAAGGGAGAATAATTTTATTTTTTGAGGGCAAGCACCCACATGTTTCTCTCCCAAGGGTGTGTTTAAAAAAAATCAAATTAGCAGCAACACAAGCTCTGCCCAGTTTTTCATCTGATACCTCCTATACCTCTCTCATGTTCCTGTCTTGTGCACACAGCTCTAAAGAGAAAACGACTACACAGTTAAGGAAAAAAAAAAAAAAGGTTTAGTGCATTAGACTTACAGTCTGGAGAGCAGAGCTGAGGGATATTCCTGGCCAAAAAGCTGATTGTGTGTCCTTGGGCCCTGAGGCTTATACATGCAGCTTTGAGCTTCTTGGAAGAATGGGTAAAGAGTAAGTTAGATACATAAATTGAAGGGTAAAAATTTAGCCATCCTTGATTAAAATTAAGCAGTTGCCAATGAGTGTTCAAGAAAAGAAAATATCCATAGGCACAAATGGCAAACCAGCCATCTTCTACCTTAAAAAAACAGGGAGAGCCTAAATAAGCATAGAAATATTTAGTAGGTGCTTTTTACCGGGTCTCTAAATTATAGATTCCAGAGAAAGGATTTGTTGGACAAAAAGGCAAATGAGTCTCTTGGGTTCCATGCACCAAAATGAATACTTGAGCCCTGTCAAGAGTGGGCTGTGTTTTGATCAATGTTTCTTTCTGTTTTTTTTCCCTCCTCTTTCTCTCTTTCTCTCAATCTCTTTCAGAGCTACTTTAGCAGCACTTTTCTCTGGAACACTTTTCAAGTTCTGTATTTAATGGAAATCAAAAACAAAACAAAACCCCCACCAGACACATACACACACACACACACACACATGTATGACAAAAAAGAATCTTTTTGTTCGCTTGTTTCTTGGTTGGTTCATTTCCTTTTTTTTTTCCTAAGAAAACAAAACAAAACAAAAAAAGAGAAAAAGAAAGAAAAGAAGGAGGGGAAAAGAGACAGAGGCAAACGCCCCTACCCCTTTCTTTAAAAACAAAGAAGAAAGGAAAAAAAGAAAATATGATGAGGAAAATCAATAAACTTGCTTTCTTTGATAATGGCACGGGGGGGGCAGTTTTTGAAGCAGACTGTCGGGAGCTCCCTCAATCTACAGCCCAGCAAAAAGACAATCGAAAACCCTTGCAGACACCCAAGTCAAGTGGCAGAATGGAGGGTGCCGTTCCTCTCATCATCCACCCATCCACAGCATGCAGACGAGAAACACTCCAGAAGGCAACGGACAGAAACCAAGGACAGCCAGAGGGAAGGGGACATTAATTTTTGCTTTTTTTTTTTTTTTGATGGTGGGGTGGAAGGTGTTGGGGAGGGAAAACAGTGTGATCAGTGGATGCCAATGAAAACTCATCAAGGAAGACTGAAGATTTGCCTTTCTCTTCCTTCTCCACCTCTTCCTCCTTCCCCTTATGTCTCCCTCCTTTTGTGCAGATTTCTTTAATTCTTTTTTTTTTTACTCCCCAGTGGTTGGTTGGTTGGTTGGTTTGCTTTTTTTTTTTTAAACAAAAAAACCCAAAACTTTGTTGCTTAATTTCTTTGGGGAGCCCAGAAGATTTTACAAGTCTATGAATCAATCTTGGAGACCACCATCTTCTCCCAGTAAGTAATTTTATGACTGCAACCCTCCTTGCTTTCCTTGGCATCTTTTCCCATTCCATGGTGGGCGGGAGATTGATTTGTGTTTTCTGATTGGCTACTTCCATTCCTACCTGTTCTTCCTATCATCTCTGCTAAAGGGACTAGAAAACTGTTGGTAGATAATTTTGTAGCCTCTGAGCAAAACTGCAGTGAAGCACTTTAAAAAACCCCATGTTGCAAAAAAAAAAAAAAAGAGGAACTTGTTGATTGATACACCTGGTGCTCGTGACTTTATTACTGAAATGTTCTTTTTTGCCTTGTGCTGTTGCGAAAACCAACACTCCTACCTGCTTTATAGACAGAAACTCATTCACTCAGTTATGCATCAATTGCACAAGGAACTAACGTACCACTTTTGTATCAGTCATCATGTATTTTGCCATGAAGTGATCAAACCACACTTTGTTTCCATCGATCATTGTGGGAGAAGCCATTCCATTCCTGGTGCTCTCCCAGCTCCCATGATGCTCTAACCAGCTTGCACCCAGAACTTGGAGGGGAAATGGAGCAAGCTGCCTTGGTCCACTTATGTCAAACTGCACACCAGCTGGATTCACACATTGTGCTGAGTTGTTATTTAGTTTGTTCAGTTAGGCTTGATCTGTTGGGTAAACCCAGTGCCTGTCAATTTGTAAAATCAAATGGCTTGTGGGTTAACTGGATCATAGTTTGAGGTTTATTCAAGAAAGTGCTGTTAAACCAAAATCTTGGCTTAGCATGCTACACAATGAACATCAATGGCTCTCCTAAGTTTCAGAAGTAGCTTTTCCAAATCTACCTGAAGGCATTAAACTTAGGATCTTTTGCAAGCAAACAAGATACTTTACCACTGATATATCCTCCCACCCAAAAAATTGCCCCGAGTTGGATAGATTATTGTCAGCAAAAAGTAGTGGGGGTAAAGGGATGGAAGCACCTGTTTTTTCCTCCCAAAATACATCTTGTTCATGTAATGATTCTGGCAGCTATTGTTCCTTTTTCAGCTGCCCTGTTTTATGACTTTTTCGTACTGTTGAATGTTGGACAAACAGTCTGTGGACCTTCTAGACTTGGCTTAAAGGTATATATGTTCAATGAGGCTAGGAGGATTAGGGACATAATTTACACTATCTTCGGTCCCACTGGACATCAAATAAATAATCATAAAAATTATTGCAAACAATTGTTTAGTTGATTTTTAATTAAGATTTTATGATACATTTGGGTTTTACTTGTGGATGTCTCCTACTTTGAGCATTATTATTATTTAAATACATAACTGCTTGAGGAATCCCTCTTACAAGGTACTTCTGCCCAAAGTATCCTTGTTTTGCTCTGAGCTGTTTTCACATGTTTCCTTAAACATTGTGGTTTGCTTGGATTTGGCTGAGCAGTAAATATATATATACCCAGCTGGTTATGATCTGTTTTAGCCCAATAAGGGAACCAAGCCAAAATCATCTGCTTGAATCTTCTTTAAGTTGGTTTTTTTTTACTGTAAACTTCCTGGAAATAACCTTAAGTATTGGGCAGCATACAAATCCTGTGAGTAAATAGTATGGAAAGAACTGAATGGAATGTATGCATCAGAACAGTGCAGTTAATCCCACAGAACAGGGAGTCTGTGTTGCAATTCCAGATGTAACATCAAGACCAGGATCAAAGTTTCAATAGAGTTAACTGATAATTGGATTCTGACAGCCTGTCTGGATGTGTCTCCGATTCACTGGGTCCTGAAGATATTTTTTTGCCACAGAGATAGTTGCTGATAGGGAAACTCTGTTTTTCTTTCTCCTCATTTTCCCTAGTTGAGATGGTTGAAGGACCATCAGTGGTCTATCCTACTCCTTCAGAACCTCCACTTGGTATAAGCTCATTCTCTAAAAGTCGGGAAACTGGTCTTCCAGATGCCATTGCTGTGGAGTGACCATCATCTTTGGCTATTGGTCATGCTGTATGTGACTAATGGAAGCTTAACTCCAGTCCTGCTGTTCTCCCATGCTTGCTCAAGCAGGAGAAACATCATGCAGATAAATTTATACCCCTCCCAGCAAATTTATAGCATCTTTTGTTCTTTTCCAACCTCTCTGAATTCCTGTTCCACTCAGCCCTGCAGACCTTGTCCTTGTTCCATTGTTTGTGTGTGTGAGTTTTCTGGCTGCACTATATTGAGGTATGCACCTGTGCCTTTAATCCTCTTGATTAGGTTGTTCCACCATGTGCACACACCTCCTCCCCCTCTCTCCCCCCCCCCTTCTCACCATCAGAAGGCCTTTTCCTGGAGTGCAGATGCCTGTCTGGATTTTGCCCCCTTTCCTCCTGTGTTTTTCAGCTTTAATCAGGATGTACTCAAAGCCATCAGGGGCTGGGTAATTTGGCACTAATTGCATGCCAGGTTTGTTTCTCACCGGCTTGTTCCATTTCAGAGAAGGAGCTTCTCTTTTTTAACAATCAATCGATAATGGATTAGCATACTGAAACAGCCATATTAAAGTCACATTAAATGCTCATTTAAATCCATTCACGGGAAAGGGAGGGAGGGAGGGAGGGTGGCAGATCAGCTTGGGTACTTCTTTAATGCAGATGTAGCGAGGTGGGGCCCTCCAGCTGTGTGGCACTAGCACTCTGAGTGAACCCCCAGAATTGCAGGAAGGATGTAGTCGAGCATACCCAAAAGGGTGAGGCCAGCCAGTGATGCTCTAATGCTTAGCTTCTGGCCCCTGGAATTAATCCCCAATACCTGTGCATTAAAAATAATATTCTGAAAGGAAAAGCAAAGAGGGAAGGATGACAAATGTTGGGGAAATCATTTGTTACTTAATGTCAGTGCTGTGTGGGCTCGAGAGGAATTATTTTGGGGGGAGTATACCAAGCCCCAGCGTTGGTTCATTTTAGGCATCTTTTTAAAAACTACTCTTTGTCCATAGGTCTCCCCTTGGTACTTCTATATTAATGGGCTGGGTTTATTCTATTGTTACCCGTTCTTCAAGGCTTTAGCTCTGTTTTCATGCTGGGGAGATGTTACGATAAAGCATTTTGGGATTTTGTATCATGAAAAGCAGTATAGAAATGCAATTAATTAATGAGTGAATAACTCCTTGTAACCATAACCTACTGAATTCACGAAGCTGCCTTGTTCTGAATCAGGAGATATATGGGTTCAGTTTGCCCAAGATTGCCTATGTGAACCCTTGCCCAAATGCAGAGATTTCAATATCCAACCAACATACCAGGAGTGTGTGTGTGGGGGGGGGTGTATTCAGCTAACAGCCCTACTTCTTCCTTTCTGGCAAAGTCTTCTCATTGTTGATTAACGATCCTTTCATCCGGTGTACCTGGCACTCCCTCCTTTTGTTAGATATCTGCTGTGCTACTCAATTCAACCCTTGCTATCGAATTTGGTAATCAGCTTTCAGGTGAACCCAGATTTCCCCCCCCCAAAAAAAGGAAAGATGTTGGCACAAAGAAAGCCAACTTGCCCAGGCTGTCCTTGGAGAGCTCACTTTGTTCTTCCAGTGCAGATTTAGCAGAGCTTCCTAGCAGCAGAGTCTCTTTCAAGCCCTCTCTGGATGGCGATGGCAAGGAGCAAGGACAAAAGAACCAAGGACTATCTGAATGCAAAGCATGTTTCTGAGGATGAGCTATTGCTTTTTCCCAGAATGCGGCTTCTGGAAAATTTCTTTCCCCCAGTTTTTTTTTTTGTTTTGTTTTTTTTAAAGAACCATGTTTGCACATCCCTCAAGGCTACAAAGATTGTCTGGAAGTACGTGGGCTGATCCGTGCCTACTGAAATCTCAAAGGCCAGAGGGGAGGCTGCTGAGTCAGATTCCTGGTGGTCACGGATTCGGTATCTTGCATAAGACTGTGGTCCCTCATGGCAGTAAATAAGCAAATGTGTTCCTCATTTAATTTGCATCTCCTGTTAAGGCAACAGAATTAGCAAGTCACAAAGAGGATTCAAGCCAATTCTCCCTGGCAGACTGGATATCTTTGCATAGGAGCTTTTGTCTTGCTCTTGGGCAAACCTGTGAGCCATTTGCCTTCTCCAGGCACATTCTGAAGAGGTGCCTTCTGGACAGAACATTCATCTTGACAGTTCTTCTGAGTTCCCAAACCAATTAGCTGTAACCCCAGCCGGGTCTTTCAAAATGCTTTGGCCATGCTTCCATCAGCCTTATCTTTTGGCAGTGCTGGTTAGCGCTGAGAGGTGTGGAGGTTCAGATTGCAGGAGAGTCCCACAAGTCTGGAGAAGACTGGGCTGTGATTGTCTTGAACACTTATCTCCATCCCTCATTCTGTTTTTTCCTCCCTCTAATGGGAAGCTAGAAGTCCTCAGAATCTTAACAGGAAGGAGAAAAATTGGAAGCTTACAGCCCACAGCTGATATTCCCTTTCCTTTCAAGGCTTCCATAATTGTCTCCAGACATCTCGAAAGCAGTCGCATTTGTGCTGCAAAGGCCATCTGTATGTGGGCGCAGGCTCTGCAGAGTTTGCCCTTCCTCTTCCTTGTAGATGTAAACCTATTTATGCCACAAAACCTTCCACTAGGTCTAACTAAAGGAACTGTCTATATTAATGTACTATTTGGGGACTTGGAAATATTTTTACACATCAATCATGCTTAACTCATAGCTGTGGGGATTGTGCACATGCAGAGGTACACACACATGCTTCAGAATATCAGAAGTCTCTTAGGCAGATTCCCTCTCGCTTCTGTCTTGCCCACTTTTGTCCTTTTGCTTGCCTTCTCCTCTTGGCCCAAGACAAACAACAAGCTAGAAGGATCTCCAGGGAGGGCTGGAAGACGCCTGCCGGAAACTCAAGAGAGCTGCAGTCAATCAGTGGAAGGCAAATGAGCAGTCATAGTTGCTGGGGTTATCATTCTAAACTAACCATCGTTCTCTGGCTTTGAACTTAGGATGCCATGTGGATCCAGCCATATAATGGCCCTGTATCAGTAGTAAAAGTCAGAGTGAAGTATTCTGCTAAAGCAAGATGTGGTTTGGATGTGGCTTAATCTATTACATAAACCCACCTATTGGGGTTTGTAAACTGTATTTTATGGCTTAGTATTCAACAAGCCATAGGCAAACCATGATTCAGTGCAATGTACAAATCTAGCCAGAATGCTTTTGGTTAGCTCTGGGTGAGGAGCAAAGAGAGACAGCTACTGGCATCCTTGGTCTGGTCAAGACAATCTCTTATTTGCCTAGTCCAACTCATAGAAATGGTTTATTGCCTCAAAGAGGTAAAGAATGTTCCCATAAGGGGGAGCAGAATTTATGCCTTCCAAAGAACATATGAATTAGGGCAATGTTCTCAACCTTATCCATTTTAAGAAATGTGGACCAACTCCCAGAATATCCCAGCTAGCAATGCTGGCTGGTGTATTCTGGGAGTTGAAGTCCACACCTCTTAAAATAGCTAAAGTTGGGGAACACTGTATTAAGGGAAAGCTGTACTAAGCTATAATGTAGTTTTTTTGTTTGTGAATTAGCATGCGGTGTGAACCAAGCTCCAGTAACTTGTAAACTATACATGATGGCTCCTTACAAGGTGCGCAGCTATGGGTAATACAAGGCATGGTTTAGGTGGAAGCTCTCTCAGACGGTTATCTTAGTTGTGTGGAGAGTTCAAAGTCAGTGGGAGAGGCTCCTCTCTTCCACAGGACTTAGGACTAAGGAGCCAAATCCAAAATATCTAGGCATTATGCCAAGAATTGGGAGTTGGCAGGAGTCCATAAATACTGATCTCAAAATCCAATCCAGAAGCCAGATTGCTGAGTTGAGTCTCATATCCTTCTAACTGTGGCTTCTTGGGATAACTGCAAAATGGTATTTGATGGGCTTTATACAGTGCACTAAGCCACATTCTGATTCAACAGTTAAATTAACCACAGTGGGCTATGTTTATACAATATGCAAAGCTATGAGCCAGGGTTTAGGAACCACTAGCTCTTGTTTCGTACAACATTAAATAGTAGAAAAGCAAACCATGTTATAACAATGAAGGACTTTCATGATCTGAGAGGCCCTTCAGATATGTCAATGAACTGCCAGAATTCTAGCTGGCATGATCACTGTTAAGGGCACCCAGCTTGTTTAGCATGATAAGGAGAACTAATTTATATAAGTTTCTCACCACCAGTGCCCCTATATCCATGACGCAGATTGTCTGGTAACAGAACCATATTATGGCCACGTTTTTCTGGTCTCTTCTTTATGTAGCTCATTCATCTTGGGGTAGAGTGTGGCCACCAATCCATCTACATCGGGGGTCTTCAAACTTGGCCCTTTTATGACTTGTGGACTTCAACTTCCAGAATTCCTCAGCCAGCATGCGGCTCAGGAATTCTGGTAGTTGAAATCCACAAGTCATAAAAGGGCCAAGTTTGAAGACCCCTGATCTACATCTTCCTCCCAGGTCTTGGGCCTGCCTAAGATCCAGTAGGTAGGAAATGGTAGTGTGGATAATCTAAAGGCAAAGATGGGAAAAGGGGCTTCCATTTCTTCCTAGAACATTATCAAGGTAGCCATTCCTCCTGCTGCTACCTACTGGCATCCATTTTGATGCCACTTCTAAGCTTCTTGCTCTCCAACACATACCTTTTGCAGCTCTCCCATGTTAATTAAGCTGAACAAGGCTGTCCTCGTCACAGTCTCTATGACAACTGATCCCTCCGTTCTCCTCATCCTTTGACTCCCTAGGACGCCTGTCACTCTGCTTCTTCTGCCTGAGGGCCTCCATCATTTTTTCACAGGAGGGTTAAGTGCTCCATGCCTCTGCATTTTTATGCCTCCTGATCCCCACGTGGGTCAGCCTCTGAAAGCTACAAAGTCTGGTTTATGGTGTCTGAAAGAAGCTCTTATCTGCTTCTGCTCAGACTGAAAAGCCTCTGTAGTGAAACTAGGGCCACGCATTGATTCAGTCTCACAATTGCTGGGTTACCCGATATGTTAAACCATCAGCCCATAAAGAAAAGTAAACTCTGGCGTTCACATTATATGCTATGTCCAAACAATTAACATCAACTTGCAGTTTGTTTATTTTTGTTTGTTTATCTTGCAGAATTTCTACTTCTCATGGTTCTGTAGTTACACAAATTCTGGGTGGCTCACATAAAATTTTCATACATGCAATCAATTAACACAATAGACATCATCAAAGCAGCACAAGACAGGCCTTGTACTCTAAAACCCAATGCATTATCAGTCTTCCTGTTTAAGTAATGGAACTAACTGGACTTCAGATGGGATTCTAGTAATGGATCCACCCAGAAAAGGCCTCCCTAAAGTCTCCTGCTTCTTCAATATCCCAAGGGAAGGGATTTAAACCACCACTTAATCAGGTGCAGCAGGCTCCCTTTAGAGAAGGTGGCCCTGTAGGAAGTCTGGATCCAAGCTTCATAAGTCACAATCAGCATTTCAGTTGTATCCAGAATCACACTGGCCACTAATGCAGGTGTACTGCTGCTAAAACTGACTGCAGTCTATGACAGCTAAATGTAGTCTTCAAGGGCCTCCTAGGTAGAGTCCATTGTAGTAATCCAATTTTGAGATAATCGCAGCAGAAGAAACTCCTATTCTCAAAAAGAGAGACTTGGTTTCTATATTTCTATATCAGGCTGGAATTACAAAATACAAAACAATGGTTCTACATCTAGTATAATGTAGACACCCAGTCCCTGGATGGGATATTTCTTCAACGGCAACTTCGTATGTTGTACTTCTTTCTCAAGCTCGTTGGGTTTTTTCCTATGCTGCCAATTCCCAAAAGCTCTAAGTCAGCACTGGCCTGTATTTTCATAAGGCTGACAAACTATCTTGTATCAATGGCAAAGAGGAGGGTAAAATATGTGGTTTATTTTTGGCTTAGTGTGTTGTATGAAACCAGCTATGGCTTATTCAATAAGCTACAGTTAAACCATGATTCAGTGCAATGTGTGAACCCAGCCAAAACACCTTTCACTGCCAGTTGTTGGACAAGAAAATGCCTGTCATCCTTCTTGTAGGCTTTGCAAAGGCCTGATCCAGACAAGTTTGTGATCTCTTGATTTCATGCACTAGGAGCTAATTCACTGCTCACTGTCAGGAGTTCGATCCTGACTGGCTCAAGGTCAACTCAGCCTTCCATCCTTCTGAGATTGGTAATGAGGACCCAGATTGTCAGGGCAATAAACTACTCTGTAAACTGCTTAGAGACGGCTGTAAATCACTGTGAGACGGTGTAGAAGTCTAAGTGCAATTGCTATTACCCCTAACCCATTTGGGGCGGGCTGAAAGGAGTTGGGTTTGGCAATAGGATGCCCTAATTTGTTCCTCCCTCTGACCTTAGTTTTTCTTCTCGACCAGAAGAATTTCCCCATTTCGTGGCCACCCAGAAATTGATCACGTCTTTTGTCTTCCGTGCATTTTAGTGCAAATTTTCAAATTGGGGATTTTGTTTGAACCCACTGTGATCAATCATCTGAATGGAATTGACTTTCCAAATCAGATTGGAAAGCTAAAATGACCTGGATGCCCCTGAATCAGTCAGATACTGCAGAAAAGCTTCTGTGCATGTGAAAAAGAAACTTTTTTTTCTTATATTGATTGTGAATATTGAGCCAGTTTGATTTTGCAAGTTATATTGATGAGGAATATTGAGTCAGTTTGATTTTGCAAGTTGATTTGGACTGAAATTAATCCATTTACCATTTATAGAGAGCACTTCAACGCTTATAGGTAAATCTTCAGAAGGCATTGAATATCATTGTTCCAGGCTCCTTTCCTTCAATCCAATACTATCCAATTGCTAGCTGAGATCTAACAACTCTGGAGGACACACTATTGGAGAAGGTTGTCTTAGATTAAAAACCTAACCTCCAGCTCATCCAATTTGAGTCAACCAAGCCACACTGCAGATGCACATGTGGAAGGCACATAAGGCCAAGCACATAGACAACCAGTAAGCCTTGTGCTTTGACCCAAGACCATGAGTTGCAGAACCTCTAATTGCAAAGGTGTCCAGCCTTGGCAACTTTAGGATCTGTGGACTTCAACTCCCAGAATTCCCCAGCCCGGAAGATGCTAGACTGATCTCCTGGAAACCCTATCTGAAGCATGATAGGGTTAGGAAAAGCCTTTGTGTACAAAGTTGGAGAACTGTGTTTTAAGTAATGGATACCAAGATTTTGAGCCATGGATGGCAGGAACAGAGGCTGCAGGCAATATGCTTTAGAGCAGTGTTTCTCAACCTCAACCACTTTTAAGATGTGAAGACTTCAACTTCCAAAAAGAAGCGTGGTTGGCTGGGGAATTCTGGGAGTTGAAGTCCACACATCTTAAAGTGGCTGAGGTTGAGAAACTCTGCTCACTTGGAGATGTGTAGACTCGAACTCCTACCGGCTGGGAATGCTGGGAGTTGGAAGTCCACATATCTTCAAGTGACCAAGGCTGAGAAGCATTGCTTTAGAGAGATCCTCGTTTGATCGTCCATGTATAAATGTTTTAAATTAAGTAAATAAATCTAAAACCACATTGCATTTTAACCCTACTTTGAAAAAAGCAGAATATTCTTGTTGTTGTCATTCACTATCTATGTCCCTTATTTGCATTACCCAATTGTGATTCTTTTCCCTTAGGCCAGGGGTAGGCAACCTTGGCTGTTTTATGACTTGTGGACTTCTACTCCCAGAATTCCTGGGCCAGCATGGCTGGCTCAGGAATTCTGGGAGTTGAAGTCCATGAATCATAAAAGAGCCAAGGTTGCCTACCTTTGCCTTAGGCTGTTCCCCAGCACAATGATCTGCCTCATTTCACTTGCTAAACTTTCTTTATTTCTGTTCTCAGTTTCTGTTACCCAAAGGAAGAAGATCCTTCTGGTCACCACCCTTGATATAAGCTTGCAACAGACTGGCTCCTTGTGACCTTTTTCTTTGCTGGAATGGGGTGGGAGACAAGGAAAGATCTACCAGCGAAGACCACCACCACCGATCAAGAGATTCCAGCAAGACAACGGAAGATTTGCATCACCTTTGGGGAGCTCTCCCCACGCTCCCTGGCTCCTGTTACTGCCGCTCTCTGCCCCCTTAGTGCTAGATGACCTGGAGAAGCTGGCAAGTCTTCTCCATCGGAAGCAAGGAGGGAGGGCGGGTTGAGGGCAACGGGCCTTTTCTATCTGCACAAAACCAGCAATTGTAAATACTTTTCAAAAATGTAAAAAGAAAAATTACAAAAGAGCAAACACCATGAAGATGTATACTCCCATACACACACGCACACACACACACACACACTCAAAATCTGAAATGTTTTGAAGACAAAAAAAAAAAAAAAGAGGCCAGAGAGTCATAGCAGGAGAGAAGCTAATTGTGTCGGATATGCACTGAGAAATCTATTTGCAGATTGACAAAAAAGTAACAAGAACCTATTTATTGTATATAATGTTTTATTATAAATCGTGAATTGTATATTGCATCTGTACATCTGCTGTGGTTTTGTGATGTGCAAATTTCAGCATGGGTTTCATTGAGGTTTTCAGTTGCTTTTCTATTGTTTGGGGGAGTTTAAAAAAATTGTTTTGGGTTTGTCTGGGTTTTTTTTTTTTTTTGGCAGGACACACCCAAAGACCCAAGTTTGTATTTAAAAAAAAAAACTAGGGAAAAAAATAGATGAGCTAATACACCCTTTCGCTGAAGAAGGGGGGAGGGAGGGAGGAAAAGGAGCGAAGTTTTCTGAGTTCTCATTGGCCACCTGTAAGCCCAAATGAGTACAGTATTCCCTCCTCTGCGTGTGCCCCTTTATGCCAGTGCTGAGCTCAGGGTGTGTGCGTGCGCGTGTACGCATGCGTGCGACTCCCCGCTCTCCCCCCCCCGCCCACCTTTTGTCCTGCTCTCTATTCCCTCCTTTTCCTGTTTTGGAAACTTCCGTACAGCTTTGTGGATCGTGCAGAAAAGAAAAAAAAAAGGAAAAAAAAAAACCCACCCCATCCTGTGTTGTCCATTGTGCATCTAAATATACCAGCCTTGGTAGTTGCTTGGAGACGAACACACTCAAATCCTCGGGATTGGCACCATCTAAGCCGCTGCTGCTTGCTTGATTCCTCTCCCTGGCCAAAAAAATCGTCTTTGTCCAGCCCCCGAGTCCCCCCCACCACTTTTTTTTTCTTTACTGCTCCCTCTCCCGCACCCCAATTGGTCTTTTTGTGTATTTAGGAAGGAATTTTTAATAGACACTTTTTATATTAAAAGAAACCTATATATTGAGTGACGAGGCTGCCTCGTGTGCTTCTGTTAGCTGTTTGGTTGGACGCTGCTTGGGGGATCGGGGGGGGGGCAAAAGGGGGAGATGGCTTCGCGGGGGCGCTGCTGGCGGGGCGGGACAGGCGAGGTGGCTGCAGAGCTCGCTCTTGGCTGCGCCCCACAACAGCTCCAGGGGAATCGAGCCCAGCTTCCCGGCGCTGGCATCCAAGAGGCCGACTGAGTTCGCACCGCAGATGTGAACACATCCACGGCGACAGCCTTCGCACGTGGAGCAGCTGAAAGCAGGGCCGAGATTTGGGCTGCTTGCAAGGCAGCGTCCCTGAAAAGCAGAGCCTCTCTTTTCCCCTGTCGACGCTCCTGCTCCAAAGCCTCCGACCCCTCCATTCTAGCAAAGCACTGCCTGCTTTCCTTTTTTCTCCTCCTTTCCCTCGGTCCCTACTCAGTTTGGGTGATGGATGAGATTTCTCCTGGCTCGCGTTTCAAAGGCGCTGCCAAAAGCCCCCCCCCACACGCGCACACACGAACATCCATGCGGGCCTTTGGCTGTGGAAGAAGCCGAGAAAGAGGCTTCGGTGCATGTGCGAACGCAGCATTGATCCAAAGTGGAGTCTCCCCGCTGCAACTTTTGCTGGTGTGTGAAGAAAGCGAGTTGGGGAACTGCGGTGTGTGTGTGTGTGTGTGTGTGTGTAGGAGGAGGGGGGGATTTGCCTCAACAGGGTTTCCAGTTAAAGCTGAGGGTCGCCCCTGACTCCTGCATTTTCCCCCCTCCCTGTCGCATGAGAGGTGGCAGCTGTTAGCTTACAACACAACCAAATTCTTCCACATCCGTGAACTCAAACATTCTTTCACCTTTCTAACTGTCTGCCAGAAAAAGTGCTCTGGGGAGTTTTGGTGGGGTTGAGGTTAGAAGTGTTAAGACTTTTAAGGGGCTGCTTTATGCCAGTCTCAGGCTATGCTGACCCAACATACTCGGTCCTGACTGTATTCACACAACCCGGTTAACCTGGTTAAGATTAACTCTGCTAGGGAAGTTCAGGCAATGCACCATTACCATAAAGTAATCAAGTCTCTTTCACACAACATACAAAGCTGCAAAATACAGTAGTTTAATTCAGGATGTTGTGCAAAGGCAGCCAGGTTTGCAATTGACCTGCTTAGGTGCACTGCGCTCTGACTTCATCTCTTTCCTCGCTTGAATCATTGATTAAGACCTCGTGTTGGGAGATCACTTCTCTGAAAGGATTTCAAAGGTTCCCCAAAGCTGCCTCAACAGAACCGTCTCTTTCATTGGGCCGGTTCCAAACGCCTGCCTGTTTCTGTGTGAGCTGGCTCCCTTTGTGGTCCTGAGTGCCAGGCAGAACAATTATCCGTTTTTTCCCCTACTGGTTCTCATCTAATATGATGAAAGAGAAACGGCCTTAGAAACTCTTCCAAATGAGGAATTTCGGAAGAATTTTCAGGAGTTGAGGAGGCTTAGGAACAAGATGGCTAAAATGAGAGGCTTTGAAGGTGGAGGACCTCCTGCCTTTCACCGAATAGTTGTGGTTCCAGCGAGGTGCCGCCTCTCTGTCTTCCCACATTTCCTTTCACTCCCAGATTCTTCCTATTGGGCTTTTTTTCCTCAGCAATGTTATGATTCCCCTTGAAAGGGCAGCATTGCCCTTGAGGAATCACTGGGGTCTTCCTCCTGGAGAAACACAGAGCAGAAATTATCCGTCCAGCTCCATTGCCCAGATATTTGGTGGAGAATTTCCAAAGGCCATCTGTGCCCTGGCCTATTTAAGTCAAGTGTGCCTGTCATTTGCACAAGTCCCCGGGGGCCAAGGATGGCAGTCCTCGCTGATTGAGGGGACCCGATAGCATTGGAGTGGACATAAAATATGGCAGGCGGCTGAGGTTGGGGGTGGCAGCGGAGGGCGGCGGATCTGGCATGTTGCACAAAGGACAAGCTTCCTTCTTTTAATTTCCAGCCTCAAAATAGAATGGGGCCTCTGCAAAAAAAAAAAAAAAACACTCAGGCATCAGCAGAACTCCATGGGGAATATGCGCCATAAGCCATAATCGCAGAGGAGTTACCACAGGCTCTTGTCATGCTGTATGAACTTGGCGCTAAGAGGGTGTAGGTGGGGATTTGCAGAAAGTGGCTGGCTCAGATAATGAATGCAGAGCTAACTCCCTGGTCCCAGTATTCTTCAAAGGGTAGGAACTGTGCTTGTTTCCCCTCCTCCCCCCATCACCGTGCAGGAAGGGTCACACAGCTGTGCCAAGCAAACTAGAAAAACCTGCCCAAGTTACGTTGCAAGGCCCGGCATGCTGCTTAAATCCAGCCACCTCCCCTCGGTGTGCATACCAGAGTAGGGAGGGGTGAGAATGCTGCTTGATTGTTTTAAGAATAAGACTTTGCCAAACTTTGCAGATTTGTTCATAAATTGAGCCAGTAAGAATCTGAAGGTGGGGAATTCAAAATTGGATTGGTCTAGCAGGCGGGGTGGGGGTGATGGTAGTGATGATGTTTAGCTCTTAAATTAGGATGCATTCATTTGGTTTGGCAGAGTTGAATTAGAGGTGGCACTTTTCTCAAACAGCCTCTTCTTCTTTAGATACCTGGCCCTCTGTAAGGCCTGCCTGTGAAATTTGGCACTTTTCAAATTTCTTTCTAAACCAGCCGTGGAAAACAAGAAAAGAAAAACACAAAAACAGTATTTGGACCTGCCCAATGATGTAAATCAAGAACTAAGCAGGTATTTTACTTGTCTGCTGTTATTATATGCCCAGTTGCTTTTCTGAACTCATGGTCTGAACAAGATGTACTTTATAATGCCTTGGTAAGGCCACACTTGGAATACTGCATCCAGTTTCGGTCACCAGGATGTAAAAAAGATGTTGAGACTCTAGAAAGAGTCCAGAGAAGAGCAACAAAGATGATTAGGGGACTGGAGGCTAAAACATATAAGGAATGGTTGCTGGAATTGGAAATGTCTATCTAATGACGAGAAGGACAAGTGGTGACATGATAGCAGCATTCCAATATCTCAGGGGCTGCCACAAAGAAGAGGGAGTCAAGCTATTCTCCAAAGCGCCTGAAGGCAGGACAAGAAGGAATGGATGGAAACTAATCAAGGAGAGAACCAACCTAGAGCTAAGAAGAAATTTCCAGACAGTTAAAACAATCAGTGGAACAACTTGCCTCCAGAAGTTGTGAACACTGCAATGCTGGAAGTTTTTAAGAAGAGATTGGACAACCATTTGTCTGAAATGGTATAGAGTCTCCTGCCTAAGCAGGAGGTTGGACTAAAAGACCTCCAAGGTCCCTTTCAACTCTGCTATTCTCTTCTATCTTGTTATGCAGCAAGTGTAGGTCCTGAACAATGGAATATCTTTTTAAAATGGGGCATCTGTTGGGATGCTATGAGACCAGCACCCAGTCTGGGCTTACAGGATTTTGGTGAGGCCAGGAGGCCATATGAAACACTGGGCTTAATTCTCCTATTGTTGAAAATGGATGAGATGCTAAAAGTGTATTTATTTTACTGCTTCAAAATCCAGGAAGCCAGCCCTGTTGCGTTCAGAATCTGTCCCTTCAGAGAATGAGGCCTGCCTGCTTCGCTGATGAAGGAGCCACTTGTTGTCAACTTAGAGATTCTCTCATTCCTGATTGGTGTCTGCAAGAGGACAGAACAAGTAATCCTCAACTTACAACTATTTGCTTAGTGACCAAAGTTTCAATGTCATTGAAAAAAACAGTAGTTGTACTTACAACCATCATAGCATGTCATATGATGAAAATTCAGGTGCTTGGCAACTGGCATGTATTTATAACGGTTGCAGCCTCTCAGGGTCACACGATCACCATTTGTGACCTTTCCAGCCAGCTTCCGACAAGCAAAGTCAATGAGGGAGGCTGGATTCACTTAACAGCCAGGTGATTCATTTCACTGCAGTGATTTGCTTAACAACTGTGGCAAGATCATAGAATCGGGTGCTACTGACTTGACAACCGACTTCCTTAACAATGGAAATTTGGGTCCCAATTGTGGTCATAAGGCGAGGACTACCAGTATCCCCTTTACTCAACTTCATTAACAGCCCACTCCCCTTGCTGTTCTAGGGAATGGAGGAGCTGGTTTCCAATGGATCTATTGACTGTGGGTGGAGAGATGCAGGAATTATAGACGAATCTCCCTAATATCTGACTGGTGCATAGGCCATTTTGAAATGCTGGCTCTGGTATAGGCTGCACAAGGCCTCAGGCTATTTTAAAAAAAAACAAGTTTTATTAATTTTCCTAGGCCTCAGGCTATTTTTGAACTTCCTCCAATGCAGCTGTTGCCAAAACTTATTCTCTCTCCCCCCCCCCCAAACAAACAAACAAAAAAAAAACCTGAAGGGAAAAAGACACGGAAAACAAGTCTGATGTAGAGTAAAAGAGAGTCTGGAGAGCAAGAAGCAATAAAGGAGATTGTGTCTGCAGGAGGGGAAGGAGACAAGGGTGGTGAAGAGTTTGGAAAGCAAATTATCTGAGGAGTGGTTGAAAAACCAAGATATGTTCCGCCTGGAGAAAGCTAAAGGGAAACATGGGCGCAATAAATATCCAAAGGCCTCAAGATAAAGCTGAGTTCTCCTCTGTTGGATCATGGGGTAAGATTAGGATCGAAAATGGAAATTGTAGGAAGCGGATTTGGGCTAAATTTTAGAAGAAACCACCTAATGGTAACAGTTGTTTGAAGGGGACATGGACTGCTTCCTGCGTGTGTATGTGTGTGTGGGTCTTCTGTCTGGGAGGCATTTCAGCAGAAGTTGGTCTGCCTTTTCTCAGACCTTGCATTAATTATCTTAAGAGTATCAATGAGCTTTGATGTGGTCCCTTTCAGTTGTCACATATGCTTTGAGGAGGGTTGCCCCTTTCTTCGAAAGAAAAAAAAAAACTTAGAAACTTAATACACTGCTCCCAACTAGGATGAGTCACATAAGCTATGCTTGCATAATTCTGAAACTCATGGTTAGCTG